TTTTATCGGTTGAAGTTACCTTTACACACCGAAACCTCTTAGCAAAGAAGCTTTGAATTTTTTATCGGTTGAAGTTACTTTTACACACCGAAAACTATATACAGAAGTCTTTATATGTCTCTTTCGTAGATGGCACAGCCCCTCGGTATAAAAACGTCTAAGTAATAGTAAATAATAATGTTCGAATCATAATGTTATTAATGTCCTCAAATCCACCGTAGCGAACAACGCTCCAACCCGCTTCTGCAAAAATGGTTCACGCAAATGCTGCGTTCATACCACAGGACTTTAACATTCCTAACAAAATTATAGATTTGCCAGAATTTAGTGGCAAGGTGGAAGACTGGCCAATATTCCACACTGCATTCGTCGAATCAACTACTGCATATGGCTACAGTAACTTCGAGAATAGTCAAAGGCTGTGCAAATACTTAAGAGGTGAAACACGTGATACAATGTCAGCAATATCATCGATCAGTTGCATTTCAAATTTCGTAGGGCGAAACAGCTTATACGTAATCAGTTGGGCCAAATACGCGATATTGCTCCAATTACTGAGAATTCGATTGGGAAATTAATTCCTCACCTCGAAAGTAACAAACATCTGCGTCTCTCTTCAGTCTGCTAGTGGTGAACATCAGCTTTCCAATCCAATTCTACTCGATGAGTTAGTCGGCAAGCCACCAATAAGCAAGCGATTGGAATGAGCTAAATTTGCAGCTACAATTCAACCTCGGGCCACATTGGTATATTTCTGTATATGGCTTAGTATGCACAATCTACGATGAAGTACAAGTACGAGATCCGAACCGTCGAGTTTTTTTAAATGTTGACAAAAAAACGCGTCGAACGAAAATGCCCAAAATGTCAAGGTTCTCACGGATCGGCTACAGTCGAAAATAGATGGAAGGATTCAAAACTCCGTCGCCTTTGTTGCGCTTGCCTCCTCCTTCACGAGATCCCGATTCATTGAAGAACGGGCAGCCAAAGTCACAGAAAGTCATAAACTGAGGTGAAGTACAGCCCGTAATCCACCAGCACTATAATGATAGTGACACGTCTATAGAGGTAATAACCTCGCGTCAACAATCATAAATTGATTCTGTAGCACCAGTCTTAAGTTGTTCATCGACTTCATTTGATGGCTACCTGCTATTTCGTCTTTTACCAGTACCCTTGTATGGAAGAAATAAAAGTATCGACACATATGCGCTACTAGATGAAGGCTCATCGGTTACGATGCTGGACAGTTCACTCGCCCAAGAGCTGGAGCTTCATGGACAACAACAAAAATTAAATATTCAGTGGCTCGGCGGACACTCGGCGCAAGAACCTTCAAGATTGGTATACTTACTAATAGGCGGGTGTGGTTTAAAGAAGAGGCATAATCTGCGAAATGTATTCGTAGTTTCGAACTTGTAATTGTCAACAGAAAGCGTAAGTAGATTGGTCTTAGGCTGTGACCAAAAATATGTACGGTTGCCAATTCAAACTTATTCAAGGGTGACACCAAAGCTTCTCATAAGTCTCGATCACCGCCACTTGGGACCGCCGTCCGCCACGTTGAGATTGAGAGTCAATGGTTCTTTCGCCGCCAACACTGAATTAGGCTGGATAATATTTGACCAAACCACCGAACGACTGCCAGTAAAATCTTCGTGCTTTCTCATCAAAAATATATCTGACGTTACACGAGCTTGTTGCTGGCTACTTTGCGACCGAGAATTTCAGAGTGCGGCCATCACTGCTGATAAACGTGCTATAAATATTCTAAATTCGGTTACACGTCGTGTTGGTAACAAATTTCTAACGGAACTTATCTGAAAGAGAGATGATATTCACCTGCCCGAGAGTTACTCCATGGCCTTTAGAAGGTTGATAGGAGTAGAAAAACGAATAAAATAGAGTCTTGCATTCTAAACCGCAATGCGCGTAAGTTAGATCCGTCGGAAGCCGCAAAAATTACTTCTCGTACTTGGTATTTACCACATTTTGTTGTGGTGAATCCGAACAAGCCATCGAAGCTGCGCTTGGTGTTTGACGCTGCAGCTGAAGTCAATGGTGTTTCTATGAACTCTATGATATTAAGGAAATGTTTCATCAAGTGCTAATACAACCTGAAGACAGATGTGTTCAACTTTTTCTTTGGCCCGGTGATGAAAGCGACATGAAACCAGACTGCTATGAGATGTGTGTGATCATATTTGGATTTGCTTGCTCACCCTGCGCGGCTTACTATGTCAAGAACGGAAATGCGTTAGAACATCACGATAAATGTTCATGCCGAGCAGTAAAATCTATTCTGGTCTATAGTGGTAGATTGATGGTTGATGACTTTGTGGATACATTCGACACACCTAAAGAAGCTATTGTTATTGCTCAAGAAGTAAAAGCAATTCATCTAGACGCCGGTTTTGAGCTCCGAAATTTTACATCGAATTCTTCGGTGGTAGTTGCAGCTTTGGTTGGCGCTGAAATTCAAAAATCGATTGCTGGCAAAGAAAGTCTTGTTACTGAGAAACTTCTCGGCTTGTATTGGCAACCGTCAGATGATAATTTAAAAATTGATTTGCGCTTTAATAAAGTTGATCCTAGAATAATTTCCGGAACCAAGCGGCCAACCAAACAACAACTACTTGGTGTTGTAATGTCTGTTTTTAATCCGCTTTGGAGGTAAACTGCTCATGCGAGTGATTTGGAGACAAAATACGTGCTGGAACGAACCATTGCCAAGCGACATCGCAGTCTTGTGGGAACGATGGCGTAAACAACTCTCCGCTTACATTGAATACGCCTTTCCTAGGCTCTATTTTGGTAATGGCAAACCCGAAGACCTTGCATCACAGAAAGCACTCACAATACTTCGATTGGAACTACAAGCGGCCGTGTTAGGAGTCCGTTTAATGCAGACAGTACGTGAAGCACACTCAGCTGTGGTAAATAGTTGCTTCCTATGGAGTGATTGGACAACCGTGCTGAAATGGATCCGCAGTGAGCATCGACCACAGGATGAGATTAGCAGCCACAAATAATTTTCGTGAGCAAATTATAAGGCTTTTCCGTGGTATCGTGAAATACATTGTACGTCCTCTCAATTACGAAAGCGTATTATCTCTCATTCACACTGTACCTAATTTGACAGTTTTCGGTTTCGCTTGTTTGTTCTACTTGAAAACGCATTGAAAATGAAAAATTTTAATTTAAGTTAACAAAATCTTGGATGTAATGCAAGTTTCTTTAATAATTATTTAGGTGGCTCCTCCACGGAAATACGACTTTGAAGAAAGTTCCACAATTTGAAAGTATGATGGACTTATCCCTTTTTAAAGGTTGAAGGTCTGGCTTAATGTCTTCACTAAACAGTGGTCAGTAATCTTATCATTAGATTCAGACTAATATAAATAGGATTTGGCCTAAGTTATCTTATTATACAATGCTATTTTATCTAGATTTAGTTCGATGTCTTCTTCCTAGGGGAATATATTTTTTCTGGGCTACGGTGTTTTGGAAGAAACCCTTGGCTGAGTTGCTGGAAGAGGACAATTTAGCCCCAGAAGGAGATAGTTAAATAATCCTGGAAGGGGCTACTGGAACAGAAGTCTAATTATCCGTTTGTTGCCTTCAATATTGGTTTTATTCTGAAAGAACACGGCATTTTTGTAGTGCTTGTTGCTACTGCCTATTGGTAACTGTAATTATCCCAAAGCAATACCCGAGTGGTTAGCATTGGGTAATGCCCTTCTGAATATCATAATTTGAGTCCTGGTTCGTCCTACCTCCTATTTGGCAGAGAATGTCTAGTTCCCCGAGTGTTTTTCTGACATGAAATAAAAGCTCCTCATAAAAATCATGCGACTGTTCGGAGGCGACTTAGATAAACTGTTTGTTGGAAAAGCTTCAAGACACATACCACAAATTGGCCGAAAATAGCGGCCTTTTACTGACAATATGTACGTTTCCAAACACTGTTAGTACTCCTCCTGTCTCCTAGAAACCAATGGGCGCTGTGTTGGCCTTAGTCGTTATCATTCCAAGGGTATATTCTGAATGTCTTATACCAGATTCTAACAATTCCTCGTGACTTCTACGTGCTAGAGGTATCTTAAACCTAGACAATACTTAAGGAAGTCCTTTTTAAAGGAATCCCTTTCTTGCCAGGGCCGAATGTTGTTCGGGATTCACACAAGAGCCTTGTCTTTCAGTGGCTTGTTTGCCTTTGTGAGATCAAATCTCGGCTAATTTTGTAGCCATTGGCTAACTCTTCCACTCTCCATAAATCCTAGGTTCTTCCCACCGTCTTAGCGAAATCTTCAATTTCAGAGTCGAGTTCTCTTTATGAAACGTGCCGCGTGCAGAGATAGTCAGCACATTCCTCTTAGTGTTTCTGAATTTAATGCTATTACTGGCCGGGTATGTCGAAGCTTACATAGCTCATCCACCATTCCACGATCTTCGAACCCGAACTGTTATGCGCACCTCAATAGCTCTGGGTAAAACCAGAATGGAATTCAATTCTGAAAGAGATAATTGAAAATTTGGTAGTAGCTTGAGAAGTTTGCTTGCTTTCGTAAGAGTCTATGGAAAAATATTATTATTACTGTATTCAATTTATTTTCAGGAAAACTGAGTAAGTGAGTGTATATGTTCGTTCCCTCGATTTATAGGAAGATCGGATAGATATTGCCCCCCCCTCCTAGAAAAATAACAAAGTGGCAGTATTTTATTTATTAACGTTGGCTTTAAAAAGTATAATACATATGCACTCAAAATAAGTAAAAAAATAATAATTTAAATTATTATTAGTTTATTTGTTATCGATTATATACTTCGGTTGTATTTTTCATTTGACAGTTGTACTGAGTAATTTGCACTATTGCACAGTGGTTGAAGGCTTATTTATTAATTCAATGGCATGTGTTGACTTCTTTTAAAGGAAACCTTAAAACCAGCTAAAACTCAGTGAAATACTTATAGTGTTTAACGTACTTTTTGATTTACAATTTTTTTTTTTCAATTAAGGCAGTGGACTAACAAATTATTGCATAAATGTGAAGCGGTACCATGATTTTTTACATGAAAACCGAATTAATATGAGAAATGATTGTCTGTATGCCTTCTATTAGTGACTTGAGTATACATAGTTATTTCCAAGTGTGTTTAGAGATTTACAAATCTAAGTACATAATTTTTGTGGCAGTAATTGCACCACAAAAACTTAAAAAACTTGCCATACTGACGACGGCAGTTGTTGTTCCGGATATGCTTACAATTGTACCCATGCATAAAGAAAGGATAAACTGGGCTAAAAAGACCATACTGCTAACGATCGCAATATCAGTTCCCAGTCCACGAACATTAGATCCTAATTTAGACGAGCCATTTCCATCAAGTTCGAACTATAAAATATTAAAATAGATTCAAAGTTATAAATATGATATTAGGACATAAATATAAACTGATATATTCAAAGTCTTATAAATCAGTTCCCATTTACTGAAGGTTACTTATCTTTAATAATAAATAATAGATATACCGTAGCTGTTTATTCGTATACAAACACAAATAAGAGAAGAATGCTTAAACAAATAAATCGACATAAAAATAAAAAGCATAGGTTAATAAATTTCTTCTTCACCCGTAATAAATTAATTCTTTAATAACTTTGATCCGGCATCACAGGCAACAAATTCATGAATTAATTTAAAGCAAGTTAGTTAGTTAGTTTGAACATCGCCATAGTCGGATAATGAAACAATTGTTCCATCGTCTTCGGTTGGGGTTTAGGGTTCACCATCTCCGGATGTTTCATTTTCACTACCATTTAGCAGGCCGGAGATGTGTTCATTCCATAAGTTCTGTTTACTCTGCGCATCAGTCACTAGATCACCTCTCTGGGTCTACAAGTAGAGTTTTCGAGCATAACATTAGTCGACCAGCTCATAGTCACGCGACACGATAGTCTTTATCGTACCAGCATTTTTTGCGACCTTTTCGAAAACCAAAAATGTTTTGTTTGCAGCTGTATGTATACGAGTGTATATATGCATAATCCGTAATGTAACCGCTGAAGCGATTTTCGGATGAGCTCCAATTTGTGGATTTGCAAAAATACTCAGTTACAATATTTTAACTTAATTTATTATTTAAATTAAGTTTCTAGATGTTTAGATGCTAACAATACTAAAAAAAAAGTAAAAAAAACCAAATCCACAAAAAATCGGTTGTGCGTACATATGTACGCCTTTAAACATAGGCCGTGGTTTTGTTGCGTTTAGGGGATCGAACGGTTTACAAATACTTCATTTAGATGTTGGGAAGTATGAAAGAAAGAAAGAGTCGGAAAGTAGTAGTTTCAGATGGTGTCTTATGGAAGTATAGCGGTGTTGCTGCAAATAACTTAGTTCGACGCTGATTATTTAGACTGCTTTGTAACTGCATTTCATTTTGAATATACATCTGAATCTTTCCATACTTTAAAACTATCTTATGTCGATTATCATACAAAATCCTTTGCGAAACAAATCCGCAATACATCCCATCTTGGTATATCTTTTGCATGCAATGTGGCCTCAACAAATGTCCCTTGAATTCTTACTGAAGCTGACGGCTGTACTCCAACTTTTTTTATTCAGACCTCCGCGGCATGCTGGTTGAGAATACTGTGCCGCCGCTATCAAACTCTGTTACAATTCAGGTGGTACTAAAAGTTTACAAATGTTTTCGTCCAACAGTTCATCACCCACGCTCGACAGTGTTTTGGCAAAACGTTTTATGCTCTTTAGCGAAGTTGAATGTCCTGAGGTCTTTCTGTATCCTCAAAGATTTTAAGCTAGCGTAGTCCCCAATTATAGCGAAGGGTAGACCCTTTACATATGTACATACGTTTCGTTTGCGCTTATTTCATTGCCTTTAATTTTGGTCTTTGTTTAATTGAAATGAGACTTCACCCACTCTATCTGTCGATGTGATTATTGCTTCGTCAGATATCAATGATCGCTTGTGAGTTTGGCTAGCCACCTTTTTCAAAAATAACCTCTTCATGAGACGAAACATACTTTGAGCAGCGTAGCAAAGATTAGATGGCTTCCCAGTGATCCGTTAAGAAGCCTTCCAGGAACGGTAAACGCAGTATTAACTCGTAATTTCTTTTTCAGAGGTACCTGCCAGAATACATATTTTAGGTCTATGGCGGATATGCACATCAGTAGAAATCGGTTAAATAGTGTACTACTAGTGAGATCGAGTAGTGTCTTTGTTTTACGATTGTCTTTTCATTAATCACCCCTCTCCAAGATGAGGACTCACGGCCCGCATCAAAAGTGACTTCGCCTTTCGATAGTACGAGGCCTGAAATAGACCTTCCATACACACGCTGGCTCAAACTTTTACTCACTACATTTAAGTAGAGCTTTAGCTCTTTCGTTACACCATCAAAAATCCAGCCCCGTTTGCCATCAGTACTTTTTGACCAAAATTAACGAGTTGTGTAGCACGCGCCACCATGGCACCCCAAGTACACTAGGCATATTTTCTCCTCTCCGCTTTAAAGAGTAAGGCGACATCGCTTTTTAAGGAATACCCCTGCGTTTCCCTAAAATTTGTTAGTGGAGGAGACTTATACCACTGTGTGGGCACACATCGAATACATCCGTGTCATAAATCAATGGCTTCAAGTTATGCAATAATTTGCCAAAAGATGTCACTGCCAACACTTGGGAGTGAAAGGAAGATTAGGCAAAACAAAGGAAGTGGACAAACAAACACAAAAGAAGGTTTTGCTGCAGCCAGTAAGCGACAGCACATATGTCACCTAGAGTGTGCTATGCGGAAGGGTTACGAGAGATCATGCACTTTGGAACATTAGACCCGGAAACTATATTGATATTTTTGTTTCTGTCCGTTTTTTAGAATTTTAAAGTCTGTAGTTTTGATCATCGTATGACCTTTCTACTATCATGATTTTGTATGTAGAATCAAATTCTAGATACCACTGTCAAACGTTGCATTGCCATTCTAAAGCTTTCCTGACCTTCCTGGCGTGGATGAAATATGTCACCATGCCTTGAGTGTACTCATAAGCGCTGCCCGCGGACGCAATGTGAAACCAATAATGTACCTTTGGTATTAGATTCCAGTACAATAAAATACTTCAATAAACTTAGCTGTCCCCTGATCGAAAAACTCAAAACCAGATCAATCATGTTGTGACATATAGACGATATGTATGGAATATTATTGACGTGCATCCCTTTGAGAACCCAAAAACGACTCGGATCACTATCTTGTGTATGAAAGAACGCCCGTCAATAAACACGAGGAAGGTTCGACGTCAGTGACAACAAACAGCTAAACGGTTTTCGACTGGCATCTGAGAGCACTCATCAGTAACTCGCTGTAAGGTAACTGTGGGACAGGTTTCGAAGCTCCCTATGTACAGCTGCAAATGAAACTATAGGATTTCGGAAAGGTCGCAAAAAATGTTTTACTATGAGGTCTGCCGTGTCGAAGTGGAGAGAAAGCACACTGCCTACCTCGCGACGTTGCGATCGACGAAGCATTTGCAGATTAAAGAATAAAGAGACCGAAATACGTCAGTATGAATAGCTAGAGAAGTTGGCCTACAATGGCAATGCTAGTTCTACAAAGGGATACTGAATTAATGAAGGAAATACTTCTTCAGCCTTCTAAATGGCAGTGCAAATGGAACAACAAAGGATGGGGAACCCGAAACCCCAATCAATGACGATTCTGCACCAATTACTGTGGGATAAGCCTCCTTAATATCGCATATTAGATCCTATCGAGCATATTGTGCGAAAGACCGTCAACAAGCTGATTGAACACTTATAGTGCGTCTTTAGATCTGGTTAATCTACTATTGAAAACACGACCGACACACACCCCTGCAATTTTAAAGCAGTCGATTTTAAAACAGCACGAATAGGAGCTGCTTTTACGCCGTCATGTCTGAATTTAGTATTCCCGCAGAACTTCTACGGCTATGTAAACTAACGTTAAGCAACATTAAAAGCTCCGTCAGGATCGGAAAGGTACTCTCCGAACTGTTCGATACCAAACGAGGTTTCAGACAACGTTCTTCCTTTATCGTGTAACTGCATGGCTGAATAGACAAAGCACAATATTTAAAATGAGTATGCAACAAGTGCCGTGCATTATAGGCATATCTACTGTCATCAAACAAACAGTCATTACAGTCGTGACTCGGTCCCCACATCGCTGCTGACAGTTATAACTTCAGATTCGTAGAAAATTTCATCTATCTAGGAACCAACATTAACACCAGTAATAATGTCAGCCTCATGGTGCAGAAGCGTGGAAGATTTCAACATCCGTAGAGGCGGCCTTAGGAGTCTTCGAGAGAAAAGTTTTGCCTAAAACGTATGGTACATTGCAAGTTAGAACCGGCGACATTAACATAGTTCAACGAATCATGAAACAGCGGCTACGCTGCCTAAGTCATGTGGTCCGAACGGATAAGAATACTCAAAGTATTAAGATGCAGTACCTGTCTGTTAAAGAAGAGGAAGACCACCATTTCATTAGAATGATCAGGTAGAGAAAGATCTAAGTAATATAGAGTAAACCTAATAGTTGCAACAAGGACATATGATAACATGTATAAGGGGAAAGTGGGTCAAATCTTTCACTCTATTTAACAAAGCGTCTATACTAGTAGCCAGTATTTTGACCAGTTCTGAGCAAACGTTTGCTCAATAAAAATTTACACTAAAAATAAATGTACATATGTACATTGGATTGTATGAATAAACAAAGTACAATAGCAATAACCAAATGATTTGTACAAATACATATACGTATGCAAATATACATATTTATGAGTATAATTATATATTGTGTACGTAAGCGCTGCTTAGCTTCTTGTCAAACTCATTGAATAGCGGCGCACAAAAAAAAATTATACAACCCGGTCCCTTTGGGTAATGGGCGCCGCGCCAAATGATTGGGCACCAATACACACTCGCAGGAGAATTTTGAAGTCCGACGCGTAGCTTGCGGCCTGGCTCGTAAGTGCGTGCCGGATCAGATTCTTGCAATCTGCAGAAGAGTGAACATTCTTTTTATGCTTGCGTGCGAGTGGTTTTTCTTGTGAGGATAAAATAAAAATAAAAAAATAAATAAAGTGCCGCCAGTAGAGGCGAGAGTGATTTTGTTTGAGTTTAGCTAGAAGAGGCATAGAGGGCAGTTGAAGCCCCACCATTGGTAGAAGATTGTTTTCAGTTGCAGAACCGGAGTTTTGGGGGCATCAACCGGAGGAGCACCGGAGTCGTGACGCACACCCGGCCAGGAACCATAAGTATCACATTGTCTGTTTATTGTTTGGTACATCTTTGTCGTGCCGACAGTGTCCCTAACC